TTGCTCATTGCTCATCGCACACTGCTCAACGCTCATTGCCCTATATCCCATCCGGCCGCAAAACTCTACTGCCGCCCGCGCCCCGCCCCATCTGGCCGCTTGCGCGCCCATCCCCCCTCGATGGGGCCCGCCCACACCGGGGCCTCCCCCCTCCCGCCCACTGCTTTCTCAACGGACCCGAGCCGGGGCTGCCCTCATTGCATACATAGTGCGCCTTTCCCTGCTTTTCTAGTGACCTACCGTTCCGCACTGCCGTTTGGCCAGCCCATGCTCCCGTACCGTTGCGTTTCTCCCCAATGCGCCATGCCACTTTGCCAGTCACACACGTTTCGATGCGTGCCCTATCAGCTGCTTGCGTTGCATGTCGCCTTGCTCCACCCCTGTTTTATTGCTTTCTCTGCTTTCGCCCGGTTCCCGTCCCGTTTCGGCGGGAAGTCTATGTTGCAAGCTAGTTCTTGCTTTACCAGACTTTAAGCCCACACAAGCAAGCACAAGCAAGACAACTCTCTCCCCTATGCTCTGTCTGCACCCCACCCCTTTCCCGTCGCCCTTCGTTTGTGTATGGTGCCTCCTCCCCCCTTTTCTAGCTGCAACAGCACAATAGGGCCTGTAGTATTCCCTTGCTCCTTATGGGTGTAACAGTCAGACAGAGGGCGTTACACGTGAACGAGGCAAATTCGAGAGACCACAAGGCTATATCGGCGCCAGGAGTGAAGGGCGGCGCCACAAATGCGCGGCAGCTCGCCAAACAATGAATTGAGAATGAGAGCGAGGGAGGCACGACGCCAAAATTAAACGGAAGCAAGTCAGCAAAGTTTGGAGCGAGAGGATAGACACTCCCATCTAGAGTACATAAGTAGCACGACAAGTTGTGCGAGAACGTGGCAGCAACAACGCGCTTAGTTCCACCGCTTGGCGTTTTTGGCAACCTTGCCGCTGCCCGCCGACTGGTTGAACGACTTGGCCTTCTCCTTCTTCGTCTTGGCCTTCTCCGCCTTGCTCATCTTGCTCTTAGCCTGCAACCACGGGGCGCCACGCTGATAGGCCAGGCTGTTAAGCCATCGAACGGCAGCAACCGACATCTTCACAACTATACGCATCGCCTGCCATGCCACCCACATGCACAACCTACCTTGATGGTCGACTTCTCTATCTCCCGTGCCTTCTCCTCCTTCTCCGCCATCTTCTCCGCCTCCTCCTTGTTCTGCTCCAGGAAGAGCTGCAACAAGAAGAGCAACACCGAGCTGGCCTTGTCGGTTTACACCGACCCGGGGAGGACGGGGCACACACATCTGCAGGATGGATCCACCCGCGCAAACAAACACGGCTTCGCTGGCAGCAATGCGCAAACCGCACCGCTCTATGACCCCTCGCCCCACCCACCTCATAGTCGCCCTGGTAGTCCACCAGCTTGCCGCCTTGCACCGTCACGATGCGGGTGGCGATGCGGCGCAGGAAGTAGCGGTCGTGACTGACCGCAATCACGCTGCCTGAAAAGGAGCAACGAAACGGGGGCACCGAAAAACGGGGTGGCTGGTTGGGGCGACAAGAGGCAGTGTTGCACACAGCTTGCACACACAAACGGGTTGCAGTAATAGCAGAAGCACTACAACACAAAGCAGGCAAACATCGTTGAAAGGCAGCAACAGCTGATGAGGAGCCAGCAGTCGCACCCTCAAAGGCGCGCACAGCCTCCTCCAGCGTCTCTTTGGAGGGGATGTCCAGGTGGTTGGTGGGCTCATCCAGCACCAGCAGCGTGCCCTGCAGAGGTGGAAAATGCAGAGCGGTGGAAGGCGGCCCAGTCGGTGGCGTGCGCCGGCAGCAAGGAGCTGGCAGCGCTGCAGCGTTAAATGAAGCAGCCCCGGCAATTGCCAGATCAGCAGCCGCGCTGCCAGGCAACAAGCTCTCACCTGCGTGAGCATGAATTTGGCCAGCGCCAGCCGCGCCTTCTCGCCGCCGCTCAGCCACTCCACCTGCAGGGGCACCAGCGGCGGAACTAGGTGGAACTCAGCTGGAGAGACGATGTGTTGCAGCAAAGAGCAGGAACAGGAGCAGCCCTGCCCCCGCCCTGCTGCACCACATCGCAGGTGCAACTTCCCGTGCGGGTTGCATCCATTGCCCCCTGGCAACAGCTGGCACCATACTGCACCAGCAAGCCTTCCCTCTTGCTACCCACCTTCTTCTCCATGCCCGTGCCGCTGAACAGCATCTTGCCCAGCAGCCCCTTGATCTCATTCAGTTTGGCATCGGGGGCAGCCCTGCACCAAGGCGGGGCAGCATGGGCAGGCAGGATTTGGTGAATGCCACAGTACAGCTGCGCTCCTCTTCTTCTCAATGGCAGACGCACGGCCACCCATCTGCCGCACACTTGGCGGCCAGATGACAGCAGCCGCGCCGCCCAGCTGCCGCGCTCAACTACCCTGCCACACCGGCGCCTGCGCTCCAGCCCTACCAGCAGCCGGCCAACCCCACCTGACCAGTGTCTCGATGACTGTGAGGTTGAGGTCAAGCGCCTGAGCCTGGTTCTGCTCAAAGTAGTTGGGCACCACGCCATATGACCCCAGCTCAACTGCGGGGGGAGCGAGCGGCACGAGGGAGCAGGGGTGGAAATGGGTGCACGTGCGCCGGAGCAAAATGCGACACCAGCAGGCAGCATGGCCGCTGCCTGCAGCTCCCCTGCTGCGCTGTGCGACACGGCGTGCTGCAGCAGCGCACCCGTCCCCTCCTGCGCCTCCTCGCGCCCCATGAGCAGCCTCAGCAGCGTGCTCTTGCCCGCTCCTGCAGCACCGGCGGCAGCGGCAAGGCAAAGGTAAAGGTAAAGGTGGGGAAGAGCCTCCACAGACTTAACTTCCCGGTTTTAACGTCTAGCTTTAGACCATTATTTGATCTGCCCGACGCGCCAAGTGCAGTACCCCCCACTAGTAGTGAATGGGTCCCGGGGAGGCCTGTGCCGAAGCCTTGGCGATTCTATTAGGCGTTCCCGAAGGAATTGGCTTGGATTGGCGCTGAGCCGGTCAGCTATGCCGCGTTTGTCCTCACAAAGTTTCGACATGGGAGGAATCGAACCTGCGCCCTCTCGGAGGGTTTAGACACTAGCTCCAGCGCCTTCAAAGAAGGCCTTTCTTAGGCGCAGCATGTGTTGATGGATCTGCAGCTCCGCAAATCCTGCTGTAGCAGGTGCCTGCTGTATGTGCACCCACCAGACTCGCCCACCCCCCCAACCAGAAAGCAGCAGCCCCACCATTGGGCCCGATGATGGCCACGCGCTCGCCCTTCTCAATGGTCAAGTCCGCCTCCTCAAACAGGTGGTCGCCGCCATAGCCGTGGGTCAGGCCCTCGATGCGCACGGCCACCTGGCCCATGGTCTCCACGGGCGGGAAGAAGAAGGCGCTGCAGCGGCAGCGGCAGCGTGGCGGGGCATGCAGCGCGAGGCGGGGTGGGCGGCACGACCCCCAGCAACAAGCCGTGTTACGGGCAGCAGCAGGCAACGCAGGCACCGCCCAGCCCGCTGGGATTCTCTCTCCAACCAGCCAGTCCCCTCGCCCCACAGCCCAGCTGCACCCCACCACCACACGCCCTCACCGCTTCTTGGGAACAAAGGGCTTCTCCACATACGTCCCCTCCGCCTTGAGCCGCTCCAGCGCCTTTTCGGCGGTGGAGGCGCGGCCCGAGTTGGCACCCGCCGCCAGCCTCCGCATCATCTCCTCCTGTAGGTGGCAGGCGGGCGGGCGACATGGGCCAGCGGTGAGGCAGGGCAGGAGGCAGGGAACAGGTGGAGGGCAGGTACCAGAGGGTGCAGAACGCGGGGGGGGAGAGGGTGCAGACGGCAGTGGCGGCAGAGGCAGCGCCGCCAGCGGGCGCAGCCGCCCGTCCCCGCCGCCCACCTGCCGCCCAATCTCCTTCTGCTGCTTCTCCCAGGCCACCCACTGCTGCGCGTTGCGCTCCTCCTTCTGCTTCACGTACTCGGTGTAGTTGCCTGAGGGCGGTGGTGGGCAGGGGGCGGGGGGACGGGGTGTCAGGGAAGGCAGGCAGCAAGGAGGCGGGGGAAAGGCTGCAGCGGCAGGAGTGAGCAGCAGCAGCGGCGGCAGGCGGAAGCAATGGCGCCTGCAAGGATGCAGCGCCACGCAGCACCCGGGAGCCCTGCCTGCCGCCGGTTGCTACCACCGGCCCCCATTCGGCTGCCGGCCCTGCACATGCCCGCGCGCGCGCCCACCCTTGAACGTGTGCGCCACCCCTCGCTCCGTCTCCACAATCTTGGTGCACAGCTGGTCCAGGAACTCGCGGTCGTGGGACACAATGACCATGGGGATCTCCTGCTTCTTCAGGTAGCCTGCGGGGCAGCGGGGGCAGGGGATGGCGGCGGCGGTGGGTGGGAGGGTGCGCACGCAGGCGGCCCAGGGGGCTGTGCGGCGGGCAGCGAGCGGGCGGTCGGCGGCGGGCTGGCTGGCTGGGCGGGAGGGAGGGAACTGCCCGGCAGCAGCTGTAGCAGCAGCAGGCCGCCATTGCCAGCCTTGAGCTTGTACGCTCCCCAGCCCAGCGCCCTCACCCTCCAGCCACTCGATGGCGTCCAGGTCCAGGTGGTTGGTGGGCTCATCCAGCAGCAGCAGGTCGGGGTCCTGCGCAGCAGGCGGGGGGGAGGGGCGGCGGGGAGGGAGGGTGAGCGGGGGCGGCAGGCAGGGCAGCAGCACGCTAGGAGGCAGGGCGGCTAGGGCAGGGAGGGGGCCGCCGCGGGGCTCCGGGCGAGGTGGGGCAGGCACAGGCTGGCGCTGCCAGGCAGCGGCCTCCCGCTGCCGCCGCACCGTGCGTGCCACCCCCAGCGCCCCGCGCCCACCTTGAGCAGGATCTTGCCCAGGCACATGCGCATCTGCCAGCCGCCCGAGTAGGAGGCCACCAGGCGGTCGTTGTCGTCGGGCCCAAACCCCAGCTCAGGCATCATCTGCAGGGGGGGGGGTGCGCGGGGCGGGGGCAGTGCGGGGAGCGGGGC